GCTATGCAGATTCAGTACATGGCCCCTGAAATCATCAAGGGTCAGCAGCACACAAGAGCAGTGGACTGGTGGAGTGTGGGGTGGGTGCCATCTTCGATCTGACCACGGTTTCCTGCCGCTATATTGTATTGACTTACTATTGACATGGACAGCACAGAGATGCATGCTGAGATGAGCAACACTTTTAGTTCATCATGTTTGACAATGCAGTGGCCTGGTTTTCTGGAGTTTGTGCTGTTGCAGATGTCGTTGCCTGTTTTTCATGAGTAACAGGGAGACTCAACATAACATGACAAGGTGCCTCCATCCTGTGTTGGCAAATTTTCATAAGTGTCTAATAGTCTGAAGAGTTGCAAGAAAAATGTTTTGGAAATCATCAATGTTGGGGAGTCAACTGTGCTGCAAGTGTGGAGCTTTCACAGACTGCCATTACAACTATAGGGTCCAGCTGTGTGCTTGCCTCAGTCCTTGTGATTTGATGTACACATTAACTAGCAGCATTGGGCTGATGTGAACTCTGAGCATGTAGTGAGTGGAGCACACTCTTGTGCACATTTGATCTTGTGCGCATTTGATCACTCCAATGTTCATGCATTGCAAGTTGTGCCACCCCTGCTATGCCTCACAACAAAGACATCCTGAATGCCCAGCACTGTGAGTTGTGTCCTATCATTTTGCTTCAAGAGCAAATTGTCCCACAGAAAAACACTGCGGCCCAATTCAATGATGCTGTAACCATCAGTCTGCATCTCACTCAAATGAGACTTGGCGCACTTGGGTAGTGGACAGGGCACAACATCACTTGACAGGCACATGCACTGTGATTTGACATGTTTTTGTAAAAGCAGTCGATGACAACTTTTGCTAGTCTGAGCACTTTTGATTGCTGCTTGGGATGCTGCTTCTACTGCCGTCTTTGCAACTGGTGGATTCTGGCTGAACACGAGCAGTCCTGGCTGGCCCTGACTTGAAGGAAGCGAATCTTGCAGGGATGAAAATCTATGATCTTCTGCAACAGATTATGCATACTTGTATTTGTGTGGTTACTCCACATATTAGTTTTTTGGATGTGGAAGCAGCTGATCGGGTGTTCAGGCTGTCAGCCTTCATCTGCACAGTGTTGCAAGTATGAACTGTACTGTCCATTACGGTCAGTAGCACCAGTGGTTCTTCAAGATGTGACTGATCAGCCGTCTGTCCCTTCCCTTGGCACAGAATCCTGCTCTATGAGATGCTGTCCGGCAATCCACCTTTCGATTTCAAGACAAAGAAAGGAGATGTCTCGCCCAAAGACCGCGATCAGCTGATGAAGAGAATCTTGGGTGCCAAGCTGCAGAGGCCCAGTGAGTTACACGTTGCATTCCAAACCCTTGGAGGCTGAACTGGCACTATTGTGCAGGCTGTGTAGGTGGCGGTCAGTTGTGTGGAGCAAGTCGATCTTGCTCCACAGTGGCACCCCTGCATTGGACAACATCGTGCCTGGCTGGTTTGCAGGATCCCTTGGTAAATCAGAATGCTTGTGACGTCCATGTGATAACATGATGTAGATAAGGGAGCTCTGAGGGTCAATGGCTTGTCTGTGCAACAGTGCGACAATAATCCCATTCAGTGATGGGGCTGTTTGTGAATTTCTTTGTTCTTTCTCCATCCTCCTGACATATCTTCATTGATTTGACATGCATTACTCCACTTGCTGTTGTTGATGAAGTACTGGGCAAGTAATATTCGAGCCGCTTAGAAAGCCGCCATGTTGCCTGAAACAACTATTGGGATTGACATGAATGGCTTGTGACAGCAACAGCACTTCTACCAATTTTGTTGGCTTCCATGCTCCTGCAAGAATGCCGTGTATGGCCAACAGGTCCAGAAACCAAGGGCAACAGGAACAGCTTGATTGAAGATCGTCTCACTGGAGGTCACACTGCCTATGCACAAGAACCTGATCGGTTTCTGGTGCAAAGTATAAAGTTCATGTTGTTGAACTGTTGACTAGCACCCTCAGAAGCGTTGATTGAACCTTTAAACCTGGACCATTGGCATCGTCAGCTTTGGCTCTTAAGTCATATGTAGATTGACGTGGTAGTGTCTGGTCTTCCAGTAAATAGCTCAATGAAGAGCTGCAGCAGGTCCACAGATAGGAAGTTGCCTTCGGCAGTGAGACAGTCTTTGATTCACCATTTGTGGACATGTCTGGCTTTGGTATAATATGTTGTTCTTCTGCTTCATCCCTCTTGATAGAAAGGGGCTTCACATGAGGTCTCAACCATAATGTGAAGAGCCAGATTGACACCATCCCACTGTGTCATACACTGTTTGAAGTCATCAGTGCTGTTGCGCTGCAAGCACTGAGAGCACTGCTGCCCTGCTGCTGTTCCAGAGTTCTGCAGCAAGGCTGCATGGAGTCTGGTGCGTGGCCTGCTCACCCGCGACCCCCACCACCGGCTTGGGTCCAAGAGCAGCAACGACGTGAAAGGTCATGAATTCTTTTGGATGATCGACTGGGACAGCCTCGACAAGAGGGAGCTTGTGTCGCCCTTCAAGCCGAGTACCTTGGATGTGAAGGCCGCTGGTGAGTGTGCAAGAGATGTGCCCTTTTGCGGAAGGCAACCTGTCATGTAGTCTCTGCACCTTTTGGGCAAATGCGCAGCGTGGAGTGCGTAGTGCTTGGGCCTCTGGCCAGGTGGCTTCTTTGATCGAATGGATGCTGATGGGTGTCCTCTCTTGAACAAAGCTTGCCTTGTGTGCAACCCTTGTTCGCCCTGTAAAATGGGCACCTGGAGGCTTGGCAAAGGTGTTGAGGGGGCAAATGCGCAGCGTGTAGTGCGTAGTGCTTGGGCCTCTGGCCAGGCGGCCTCTTTGATCGAATGGATGCTGATGGGTGTCCTCTCTTGAACAAGGCTTGCCTTGTGTGCAACCCTTGTTCGCCCTGTAATATGGGCACTTGGAGGCTTGGCAAAGGTGTTGAGGATTGAAAGGTGAAGGTTATCTATTGTCAGTGTACATGAAACCCCTCCTGTGCGTTACACGACCCTGGTGCGTTTCGTTTTGCATTAGGCCATTGTGCATCACCATTGGTAAGAGCGTTCCAGAATTGGCAAGTGTACGAAGGGCTTGGAGGCTTGCAAGTTTCAAGGTTATTGCACTGCTTCACAGTATTCATTATATCCAATACATTCGTTGGTCGAGCTGCTGTTGCACTATGTGTGTGCGACTGAGATATGGCCCATATCTTTGGGGTTTCGCCAACTGAAATTCGACTAAATGGTCACAGCACCCTACTTTACTGACTGCAGATCGTCATGATTAGTCAGCACCAAAACACAAGAAAACCTTGCAATGCATGGCAATGAACTCTGCAATCTCCATGTCATAAACACATGCAAATTTTATGTGGGAAATTATATAGGATATATAGGCACCGTTCCCAAGCAGAAAACCCTTTTCCAGGCAGTGCTATCTGACCCCATGAGTGAACAATCTGTCAGCTTGACCTGCTTGAATTGTGCATTCTGTGCAGCGCATTTTGACGGGCGGCGTGACATGCTGGCAGTGGACTCGCCTTGTGGCACTCCCGACTACCCTGGCATTCTCGGGGCCTTTCAGGGCTACAGCTACCAAGCGCCATGCACCTTGGAGCAGGGGGTGTGTTTAATGTGCCAACTTGTCACCAAGTGGCATGCGAAGGCTGTGTGGTGCAATACTACTGTGTGGCGAGAAAACACATCAGTGTCATTGGTGTCTAACAATGACCTCCCTTCAGAGGCCAATAAAGGCACCCAGTGTGGAGCAGAACCGAATTCGATTTGGCCATCGCATGTTGGCCTTTGCAGTTAATGTGCAAAAGAATACAATCCATCAATGCATGCACCTGCAGGCACATCAAGCCTTCAAATTTGCACCTGCCCTGGCGTTTCCGCTCCGAATATGTGCTTGTCACTGTATGGCAAGACATTGCCCTTGAGTCCTGAAGGCCATGACCGACTCAGTGGTATTTTGGATGCACAAGTTTTGATGCCAATCCTAGCTGCAACAGGCTCGTATTGCCCGCGGTTTGATTTCATCACCAACACACTAAAGAAAAGCTGTGCGCCCAAGCGCTGGAAAGCAGGTGTTTGGGGAATTGTGGCTTAGTCACCTTTCTGATGTTCAGTTTGTGCTTATGGCATATTTTGTGACGTTTGTTTGTTTCTTGTTTGTTTGTTTCTTCCTTACATGGATGCATCGACATGACGTCACGACATCGATCAATGTAGCGAAGCACTCAATGTACGAAGGGCACGTCCAGGCCCAATTCTAGAACCGAAAGCACGCCTCTAATGGCGGCCACTGCTGCCACCGAACCCCAGGAAACTCCCCCACAAAAACAAGAGAAAATGTCTGCAAGCCAAGAATCAGAGTGATGGGCTATTCCTCGTTCACCTCTGTTGCGCAAATGCGGTCGCTCGCTGAGCTCAGAAAAGCTCCCAATCGGCCGCAGTGATATTTTGTGACGTTGTCATAAGAGGCAATAGTGTGGGTTGCTTAGCGTGAAACTTCCCAGTTGATGGCCTGGTGTCCTGGCAAACATGGTTACATGTAACTGGCTCTGGTAGGTAGTGTCGCCCATGGCCACATCCAAGTACAGGAAGCACATCCCAGTAGATGGCCCGCACCTGTACTGTGTCCACTTTGCCAGTGCGAAATGCTCACCGCGTGTGTCGTACTGCCTTGCAAACGTAGTGTGTCCTCACAACAGTGCAGGGAAAGAAGCTCCATTGTACTGTACTGTTACAGGAGGTGTCTCTTTGCGTCATGGCATCCATCCTGTCCTTTCGTCTGTGCCAGACAGCTGTATTCGATTTGGTGATTTGGGTCGCGTGTCACTTGAGACGATGTTGCTGCCGTGCAGATGGGGAGGGTGGATTCCTTCTGAAGACGCGGGGAACAGTGGTGCGCTGCCCGTTGAGCGCACAGGAGCGTCGCTTGGTTGACAGTATTGATTCGCATGCTGCCCACCACTGCATGCCAGCCGTACTTGCCCGCCTTCCTCTTCCGCAGGCGGAGTGCTGTGATGGGCAAGTGCTGCGACCGACGTAGAGAGTGCTGGTGGAAGCAGGAGCGCTGCGGGTAGTCGGAGAGTAGGGGGTGGCCTTGGCTCGATTTGGGTCTGATGAGGGCACGGGTGGATGGTGATATAGAATTTGTGATGGGGTAGGTTGGACTGGACGCTTTAAGGTGCAGGATGTGCCTCGCAGCTTCAAAACAGCGCCTTGGGTTGCGGAGTATGTGTGCAAGCCCAGTTCTGCGAACGTGGGAGAATTGTTTGTGCCTGGTAGGGCGATTTTGTCATCAATTTTATGGGCTTAGTATTGTTCTCGGGCTGGTCTGTGGATGGGGGCATGACGAGATTTAGTTGTCGTCGATTTGATGGATGTTGGGTCGTTGAAGACTTGCTTTCTGGGCGGTTGGGCCTGATTGGCCGCGCAAGGGATAGAAGCCGTTGGCGGGGTGTGCTGACCGGGTTTGTTGACGCTGGGGCGGTCTTCTTACATTGATGGGCCTCTGCGGCATTGAGTGACTGCTGCATTGTTGATGATAGCTGGCCATCGGTGTTGTGGCCTTGTTGCAACAGCTATACGCGGTTGCTCACGTAGAAACTTGCCGAGGTAGTATCCGCGTTCTGCCGCCCAGTTGGTCGCCAAATTTCAGTCGTGTGCCAATGTCTGAGTTGATCGAACACATGGCGTACAGCGAATCTTGCACGCAGTGCAGATGCCTGTGGCAACCGGCATGGCAGGCTTTCGGAGTGGTCAATAGAGGCGAAAATCGAAACAATAGCTTCAGATCCGATGGTCACCTCCAGGGAGCTTCTCTGAGGGGCCTGTGTGTAAGCAAAGCGCAAAGGACTGCGCATTGCCACAAGGGCGGCAGTCGGCCGGACCTCAGCCTCGTTTGCTGCCAAACTTATACAAGCGTATGACACATCATAGTCCTTGTTTTAATGGGGTTGCATTGAAGCCCTGGTGTTGGTGCGCCAGTAAGTCTCCCAGATTATCAAAGGTGTGGAACCTGATCAGAAGCAGCCTATTTTCTATCTTTGGGTTATTTTCGCAAAGCCTACGATTCAGCCAACCACCAGCGATTATGGGAAATTCTGGATTGCTTTGGGATTCCCAAAAACTACGTAGACATGTGGAAAGCGTTCCGTGGAACAGCATCTTTCTCAATGCGAGCTTCGCAAGGTCACTCATCATCAATGTCTGTGTGGAAGGATGCCATGCAAGGATATCCTACTAGCCCTTTGCTCTGCGCCTTGTTTCAAGAACCACCCCAACAGCTCTTTGGACGTCACCTTCAGTCTCCAATGATCACTCGGACCCTGATCATCACTTTGATGTGTGTTGTTGTACATTTGTACCTGTGATGTCTTGGAATTGAATTGGACAGACGCTTTAGATCCTACAAGTTTGGGAATCTCTTTCTGGAATTGGGCCAAATCTCTCAAAGACTCGTATCATCGCTTTTTGCCTTGCCAGTCTCCTGAGCCTACCCAGTCATGTACCCCCACATGACCAAACAATTGCAGAATTCACATAAGCTCAATGTGCTGTACACGAGGTCCCCATACTTCAGTCGTGCTCTTTGCTTCGCTAGTACTTAACGCCAACTTGACAGTGAATCACCCCATGAGTCACCTCCCTAATCCCGTCCTTCACTCCCTTCGCTGTCTCTCCATTCCACAACTAAACCGAACACCACTCAACCGAACACCACTCTCTTAGGGCGGGAGGACCGAGTGCGAAACAAGATCAGGAGGGGGACCAGCGGGGAAGTCTAAATATATTTATATATTTTTGCTATATAGAACCCCCATCTTAGCCCCGCGAAAGCCCGCCAAGTCCAAAGGCGCCAAGGTTGGTGGCCCTTCTTTTCCCTGTATTTTGAGTGATCCACGGTAATAGGGTGGCCAGAAAGCCAAGGGGCAGGGGGTGAGTAAGCCCCAGGTTCCAAGTGCGCCATTTCAATCACTGCCCAGCCTACCCGTCGTCTCCCTTGGCAGAAACCCATTAATAGGAAAGTTAATATGATTTCGTCAATGCGCCCCTCCCACATATAGATTTGGCAATTGGGATATTTGAATCAAAAAAGAGCATGCCCATTTCGGCATTGGAATTCTTCCGAAAGTCGAACCATTTTTCAGCCACATCTTGGTATTATTTTGGAGAGGGCAAGCCAGGCCGAACGATTTATACTTCAAGGGCTACTTGCTTTTTGCATCATGGATCCGAATATTGCATATAATCTATTCAAACCTATGTTTTGGGATCAATTGGATACGCCTTTCCTATTGGGGTCGTTTTATCATGCAAACTCAATAGAATCAGTTGGAGAACGCCCAAACTCAATTCTTATGCCAAGATCTTTGCCTTCCTGGCCACGCACCACTGGGGATTATTTATGCCGAAATGGGAGCATTTTTTTTAGAATTTTGCTCATGGAGACTGTGAGGGCAAGTGAACGGTTAATATATAATACATGATATATGGTGTGTTTTTGATGGTGGAAAGTAAATGTGGTGGACATGGTGTT